CAGCAGACAATAAGGGCAAAGGAGAGAGATTCCTTCACACACAGCTGCCCTACCCCTGGCCCTTGCTCTGGACAGGGGAAGGAATGGAGGTGAGGAATATTCCAGGCAGAACTGATATTTCAAGAGTAGAACCACACAGTGCTACAGTCCAATTCCCTGCTTTCCCTCCCTGATTCCATGTGACCCCATGTCCCCAAATTTCTCAGAACCTCAATTTCCCCTAGTAATCCCTACCAACCTCTTTAGGACTAGGGTCCTAGTGAGGTGCTCATTTGTGTGCACCTGGTGCCCCAGTAGAGACCCTGTCTGCTGTCTGGCAGGCAGAACTGTTTTCCTGGAGGCTCCCAGCCACAGGCTGACTCAATCAGTTCAGCAGTCTCCTGGGACCTGGACCAGCTTCCCACCCGCCCTTGGCCATGATTAGAGGAAGGGACCAGGGACTGGGTTTCAGTCCCCTCCCCACCAGCCATCTGCCAACGCTGAAGTAAGTGTGCATACACATGTCACACTCACAGGCTGGGCCCCACCTCATGGTGGGCACTACCTGTCCTCTCAGGCAGCAGAGACAAAGAGCAAAAGGAATCCCATGCTGCTGGCCCCCACAGACGATACTGGAAGATTCTCATCCCCTTCTGGCTACCCACCAACAGAAGCATCTGGAGCAGATGGGAAGCCCCCTATTCCTCACCAGAATCACTTCCCATATCTGTGCCTCACAGGCCCCTCCCATGCTGGACACCAGTTAACCAAAGCCTCCACCCTTTCTGAGGAATCAGGAGTAGAAGCTGGAGGGCTGGGGAAATAGCTCAGTAGAATAAGTGCTTGCCTGGCAAGCGCAAGGTCCTGAGTTCAATCCCCAGAACCACCACAAAAAAAAAAAAAAGAGTAGAAGCTGGAGCCAAGGCCTATGCACCTGCCCATCGTGGGATATTAGAGGGAGATGTCTCAGCTGGAACAGCAAAAGATTGCCCAGAAGACTCCCTCAGGACGCACTATGAAGCAGGCTCCTTGGAACAGGCTCCTTGGAAACCCTTATCTTTGAAAGACCCCTTAGCCACAGAGCAGGAATGAAGAGGCAGGAATGGGGAGGCAGTCCAGGCCTCAACTCCCACCTCCCATCCCCCAGAGAGAGGCCTGGAGCTGAGGTTGAGACAGCACTAGGGAAAGGATGGGCTGAGGGCCCAGAGCACACAGCTGCTTGACAGCCGCTCACACCACCATCCAGAGCAGGCCCCATTACTCCCAAGCTAGGAAACTGAAGTGCCAGGCCCCTGGCCATAACAGACCATTTGTACTTCTCCATCCTGAGCCTCTGTTTCCTCACTTTCAAGTAAGGATAAGTGGATCTCTCACACAAAGTTAAATCAAGAGCTTTAGGTGAGGGATACAGGTTCCTGCAAAGTTCACCAGACCAGCGGAAGGCACTTACCCTGGTTGGGTTTTTTTCTAGCTTCCTTAGGTGTTCCTACCAACACTGTTCTATCCCCCAACCGATTTCACTGCCCCAACCTACCCAGCTAGGGACCTAAGGCTGGATTTTTATTTGCTAGAGATGCAAGAGCTAATGGGGCTACATTGGAGTCAGCAGACAAAAGTGGGTCAGCCCAGGCGGACCCTGCTGAAGACTCCCACACAGCCAGCACCACCAGGTCCTTTCCTGCCCCAGGGTCAAAGCAGTGTCCCACCTCCAGCCCATCAGTTTGTTCAGGTGCTTGTTGAAAATGCCCAGTCCCCATCCCAATTAGAATTTATCAGGGTGGGGCTACAGACACAGCACTGAGTTAGAGACCTGTGAACTCTGCTAGGGTTGTGGTACCCACATCCAGGGTTGGTAGCAGGTGACTTACAGTGCCAGGTGTCCCACACACCCCCATCTGGCCCTGGTGTCCTCCAATAGGTGAACCCCCAGACATATCAGAGCCTCAGCCCATCTCTGTGGACCCCTCACAGCCCCTGGGTGAGAATATAACTAGACAAGAGTGTAGGAAGCTGTATCTTTCTGCCTGGTGCCAGACACCTCACCAATTGGAAGAGGGTCCTTTGTTTCTCAGCACAGATCCCCACTTCTCAGGTGCTTAGCTGGGTAAAAGGAGGACACCCCCCCAGTATCTTTGAGGGGCTCCCTTGGACTTTAGTCTTCTGCTGTGAAATACTACCATAATCTGGTATAGAGGAGAGATTCAGGGGTGCTGCTTACAGCCTAAGAAAAGGTGTTGCTCTGTGCCATTCACCCCACCCCAACTCATTGTTTCTTCAGAATTTTAATTTCCCACTTGGGTAAGGGGCTTCCTTAGCCTTCCCTGGAATACAGAAAGCTGTAAAGACATGTGTGGCAAGCCAGGAACAGCAGCACTCCCCCAGCACCCAGCAGTCCTCCCGAAGAACCCCACTCTAGATACATCCCAAAGAGGAGGCCTGCCCCAGGCTCAACATCTGGTCTCTTAGTTACAGCTGCTGCCCACCTCCCTCATCCTAGGATTATCTCAAACTGTGTAGCACTGAGGGTACCCCCCACTCACCCAAGTAGAAAATTCAGATTCCAGGCAAGTCCAGTGGGTGGATGGAAATGCACATGGGAAAATGTGGAGAAAAGCCATATTTTGGCTCCATACCACAGCTCAGACCCTCTATTAGGTGGCCCAAAGACTCTCCCATTGCCTAGGGCCATGGCCAAGCCAACAGAAGGGTGGAACAAATCTTGGGGCTTTTAAAGTGGGGTCCAGCCTCCCCAAAGATGGGATTTGGCATGGACCTTTGTCTTTAAGCAGACCAGCTCACACTCTGGACCCCCCACTCCTACTTCCTGCAGGGAAGCCAGGGCAAAAGAAATGGCTGTAGCTACCAGTTCACAGCTGGGCTATTTAGAAACAAAAGCTTTGGGGGGACTCACTTCACATGATTGTTTAAAATGAGGTTTAGTGATGTGTATGGCATCCAGTTATTCATACTGGCTCCACCCACAGAAAACTGAAAAGTTGGCTTTTTGGATTTACCCTCTCTCTTTTCCCACCCACTGCCCTGTATGGTCCTGGACTCTGGAGCTCAGAAAGCTCATCTTGTTTGACTCCTTAGCTTTGTAGACAAGAACACTGACACCAGGAGCCAGGAGACTGGCCATTGGTGCTGGCACCAAGACTTGAACCCAGGACATCAGACTCCCAGGCCAGAGGCTTTTCCCATTCACCCTACAGGCTGTGGCCTGGCTCCAGCAAATCCCTAAAGCCACTGACCCCCAAAGCAGTGGTGCCTGGAATTGAGGTGACTCACTGTCTGGCTTCCCAGGATACCCTTTCCCTATTGGTGAGGGAGGGGCTGGCAGGTGTCCCAAAAAGACAGCCAGGGGCCGGGAGGCCCCCCCAGGGGACCTGGACCAGGGTCACTCAGGGGCCAAAGAGCCCCAGCTGGAGGGATTTAACACTAAAGGTCAAAGGTCACAGACTGGGAAGGGCGGGCAGGCATAGGGGGGTCAGCACTAATGGCAGCTCCGGAAAGGAGGGGGAGGGGGAAAAGCCAAGGAAAACAAGATTCCTTCCAAGGGGTCTCCATCCCAAAAACCCAACAGTCTAACCCTCTGACATTGCCCCTTGCTTCGCTAGCCGCAGGAAGAGTCCAGTAGATCTAGAAGTGGGGCTGAGAAATGGGGCTTCCAGGTGCAGCCCCTCCTCCAGAGTGGGTCAGGGCCAGCTGGGAGGCCCAGCTTGGGCCCAGAGGGAAGAAGCAGCAGAGGGGGAGGGTTTCGAGGTCACCGAGAGGGATGTGTGGGCTGGCCTGGGACAGCTGTGGTAGTGGCACCAAAGTGGGGGCTGGGGAGGGGTGGATGAATGAGCAAACCAAAAGGGCCACTTTCCAAAGCCCCCGAGAGCACAATGCCTCTGGGCTGCCTGCCGCACCTTCCTGCCAGGATGGCAGCACAGCAGGATGGCTGCTGACAACTCTGGTGCCAGACTCAGAGGACCACAGATATGACCCGGCCCAGATCAAGACCCACGGGAGCCCAGGCCTTGGCCAGGTCCCCAGCCGAGCTGGCTGTCCCCTTAGTGTCAAGCATTCCCTCCACAGCCAAGATCCTAGGCTGTGATGGCTGGGGTCCCAGGGCTCCTCCCAGTATCCTTTCCAGCTTCCCAGGCCGTGAGGCAGGGCTGGGCAGCTCCCTGCAACCACTGCTTCCCGGCCACCCTCTGGCCCAGCTGGGCGGGCCCTCCTGGACAGGCAGACAGGCGGCATGCTGCCCTGCTGTGGCCTGAGTACCCTGCTGGGCAGGGCAGTATGCCAAGGTCTCCAGGTGCCAGCCTGGATTCCAGCCCCATCTCTGGGGGCCAGCGGGAAGCAGATGAAGGCATCTCCCTGGGGGGAGGGAGAGATGCACCTGCCTCTCCCCTTCCAGACCCACCTTAGGATAACCCTGCCATCTCCACCGTTGACCTGTTTCCTCGCAGAAAGCGAGAGCACCAAGCGACCAGTGTTGACCCCCCAGGGACTACCCCCTCTTGTCCTTTCCAGAGGGGTTCGAGGGGGCACCAGGAGAGAGAAACGTTCGGAAACAAGGAAGGCACCTTCCAAACCCCTTCCTAGAAACAACCTGGGCGCAGCCGTGGGGAGGGGCGGTTGCCCGGCTGCCCCAGACAACTTCGTGCTCAGGCGCAGGGCGGCCCCCTCTCACCTCGCAGCGCGCCCCCACCGCAGCCTCCCAACTTCCCCGCTAAAGTTTGCGCCCGCCCCGGGCCGGGCCGGGACTCGGCCCGGCCTCCGGACGAAGGAAGGGAAAGAGGGAGGAGAAAAACCGAGAGATTGGGGGACGGGGCCAGGGAGCCGGCGAGGGAGGGAGCGCGCGAGCCAGCTAGCAAGCAAACGCAGGGGCCTCGGCAAGGGCTCACAATGGCCCGGGGCGAGGCGCGGACGCGGGAGGGGGAGGCGACCCTCAGGCCCCGCAACCGCCGCGCGGCAGGCGGGACCCCCACCCGCTTCAGGTTCCCAAGGCACGACACCCGGGGGTTTCCTACCTCGGCAGCGGGGGCGGTCCGGCTCCCGGCTGCGGACTCCAGCGGTCTCGGGGCGGCGGGGGGCGAGCGGGGGAGGGGCAGGGGCGGGGGCCCGGGCTCTAGGCTTGCGGGGCGCGGGCTCCCCTGGCACTGCCGCCCAGCGCCCGGCCGCGCCGCCACATCTGCAGCTCGGGCAGGGAAGGTGCCGTGGGGGCCCGGCCGTGCGGGGATGTCTTGGAGGGAGGGAGGAGGGAGGAGGCTGGAGGAGGGACCGACGGTCGCGGAGGAGGGTGAGGAGGAGGGGCGCGGGGGGCGGCCTCCTTGCCTCCTTCCCTCCCTCCTTCCCTCCCTCGCGAGCGCGCTCGCTAGCTCGCTCGCGCCCTCCCTCCTCGCAAACCCCTTGCGCCGCCGCGGCCTCAGGCCCCGGGCGCCAGCTGCCAGGCGGGGCAAGCGTGCCGGGGGGAGGGGGCGGCCGGCTACCCCGGGAAGAGAAGGAGAGGAGGAAGGGAAGACAGCCCCTGGAGCGGGCATGGGGACGCAGGGCGAGGGGAAGGCTCCCCGACTGGGACGTGCGCCTCCCCCTCGCCCCTCCACGACTCCGCCCCCGGCTGGAGGGCAGCGCTAGGACACGGCCCAGAGGTGGCCTGGGGCGGTGGACAGGAGCCTGGAATATCCCGCCCTCGGGGTAGCCCAGGAGGGGCTGGCGCTTGGGTCCTCCAGAGAAGCCCGGCGGACCAGGAAGATGGAGGAGGTTGCCGGGGCCGAGGGGGCGGGGACCCTCTCCTCCAACAGGGTCACCTTGGCCAGGCCCCCCGCGGCCTCGAGCAGCGGGTATGACGGCCGACTGCTTCTATGTAGGCCCTGATTTCCTCGCCCGACCCAGTTCCAGTAACACGGGGATAGAGGCCTTTTTTGATTATGGGCAAGTTCGAGATCGACTCAGCCCTTCGAGCCCCTATAATGCTGGGCTTGTCCCTGCCTTGCTCTTGGCCTCAGTTTCCCTTGAAATGGAATATGTCATAAGACCTAACTTTGAGCAATCGGAGTTTGCCTTGTCTTGGTGTCAGCAGCTCAAACCACCAGCCCCTACCCCCAAAGCTAAGCAATTCCAGGTTAGTTAAATGCAACGAGTGAACACAAGCGAGTAACAAAACCCGCACCCGGCACTGAGCAGCACTTTTTTTTTTTTTTTGTACTGGGAGTTGAACTCAGGACCTTGAACTTGCCAGACAGGTGTTGTGCCGCTGAGCTATACACACACACACACACACACACACACACAGAGCTGTATTCTGCCTCCCCTTGCTGAACCTCGATTGGCGATTGGCGTTCTTAAGTGTTTTGTTTGGGCTAATCCTCAGCCCCCGCCCAATGTCTTCTTGCTGCTCTGCTGTCTGGCTTTGCTGTCTGGTGGCAAATCGTGGCTCAGAATCAGCTCTTTTTGCTGGCCAACTCCTCTCCAGTTGGCCTTGAGAAACCTAAAAGAAGAAAAGGCGCTTTAGAGTCTGTATCCTCTATAGGTGAGGTATCTGACTTCGGTTAAAATTCTCTCTTCCTTTCTTGCAATTGATTAATGTTATCCTGCCAGAGCCTGAAACACATGGGTCTTGATTACATTGCATCCTCTGCACTAAGCATGGTATTTGGCATATGCATCTGACCTTGCGCCCAGGCGGGCACATAAGTGTTCATGATGTGATGAGCAAAGAAGACACGTAGTAGGACTCGGGCTGTGTTGGCTGATGCTGGAAAGAAATTGAAAATTACCCATTTATCTGGAGCAAAGGCCTTTAAGAGCTATTTGGAAATGGCCTGCCACCCCGATTTTCCGAGTGTGAATAACGTAAAGTGTGGCAGGGTTAAACATTAGCAAGCATTTGGGGGGGTTGCAGCTTCAGGACTTACAGCGGCCAGGAGGGGGCTGTTAAGGGCCAACTCTGGGTCAGACAAGTAGTTTAGCATCGGGAAGAGCGGAGGCTGAAGGTCACAGAGCGCCCCCTCCTGGCGTCGGGAATCCCTTCGATTTAGCCTTGTGCCAAACCCACTCAACGTCAGAAGCTCAGCCTGCACAGCGGCAGCCAGGGAGAATCCAAGTGCACCCCTACAAAGGTATCTAGATGGCTGGTTAGTTTAAATGTTAGCAAGAATACATATCGGGCCGGGAAGATAGCTCAGTAGAATAAGCGCTTGCCCGGCAAGCGCAAAGGCCTGAGTTCAATCCCCAGATCTGCCAAAAAAAAAAAAAAAAAAGAATTCACGTCGAGGGGCTGTGAATGTAGTTCAGGGACAGAGCACATGCTGAACATGTTCGAAACCCTGGTTCATTGCCCAGCACCAGGAAAAAGCTTGCAGGATGACAGACACTGTGCAGTAGTGAACACAAAAGGCCAGTAAGCCTAGCAAAGGGAAAGTTGGCTATAAGCAACTGAAGCCTGAGCCAGGGATGGTGGCACACGCGTGTAAGCCCAGGAAGATCATGAGTTTGAGGCCAGCCTGAGCTACATAGCAAGTCTGAGGACAGACATGGACTATCTCAAGAAAAAAAAAAAAAAGAATCCTTTCAGCCAAATAGCTCAGCAGATTAAAGTGCCAGCAAGCAGGTGCAGGGGCTGGGGTTTGATCTGCACTGAGATGGCAATTGAGACTGGGCATGGTGGGATGCGACTGTAATCCCAGCATTTGAGAGGCTGTAAGCAGGAGGATCACTATGAGTCCGATCTAGTAGTAGACCCTAAACACCCTGTAGACCCTTCACTAAAAATACAAAAAATAAAAAATAAAAAAGGAATCCTTGGATGCCCCTTCTTGGAGGTCAGTTTTTCAGCATGTTGCTCTTGCTCTAAGGGAAAACTCTAGGAGCCTCACTGCCTCTGGATCCTGCTTAGGCATAGTGAATGATGACACCTTCCTTTCTGAGGCAGTTGTTTTGGTTTGCTTTGCTTTGTTTTGGTGTGTTTTGGTACACAAAATGGAAATGGAACTGAGGACCTCACACTTGTCAGGTAGATGCTGTGCTGCTGAGCTGTCACCCCAGCCCAGCTGTAAAGATGAAGGTTAGCAATCACTTCTAGATGTCATGCCCATCTGAGGACCCAATTTATGTCCCCTTTGCCTACAGAAAATCCCTATATGTAGCTGTTTAGTTCCCACAACACTGGCAAGAGTAAAGAAAAAATAAACTTAAGGGATGGAGCTGACCTAACCAAAAACCCCCAGTCCTCAACCAGACCAGTTCTACCAGACATTTTTTTTTTTCTTGCAATACTGGAAATTAAACCCAGGGTTATTGAACTGAGTTACATCCCTAACCCCCTCATACACCCTCTTTTTTGGGAGGCTCGGAGGGTTGTTTTTTGTTTGTTTGTTTGGTGGAACCGGGGATAGAACTCATGCCAAGTGCTTATTCTACTGAGCCACCTCCCCAGCCCTGGAAGGGTTGTTTTTGAGATAGGTTGTTGCTGTGTAGTTCAGGCTGGCCTTGAATTCATGGCAATCCTTTTGTCTCAGCCCCACAAGTTCTAGGATTACAGGTATGTGCCACCACATCTGGCAGTTCTAGTTTGTAAAACATTGATGATGTTAATTCTTTTGTGCCTCGGTTTCCACTTCTGTAGAATGGAAATATAATGAAAATGACTAGTAATAGTTTAGTGACATTACATAATTATAATTTCAATAATGAGAAGCTAGGGCTGGGGTATAGACACCTGCCTGGCAAGTACAAGGTCCTGAGTTGAATCCCCAGTACTGGGGGAAAAAAAAATGAGAAGCAGGCCAGTCAGATAGCTCAGCAGATTAAAGTGCCTGCCTAGGGGCTGGGGAGATGGCTCAGTAGAATAAGCACTTCCCTGGCAAGTGCAAGGGCCTGAGTTCTATCCTCGGTTCCACAAAAAATAAACAAATAAAAATAAAACAGGGTCTTTTTAAAAAAAAAAAATACCTGCTTAGGCAGATGCAGGGACCAGGATTTCAATCCCTGGTTTACTGAGCCAGCCCTGCACCCAGGGACTCTGAGACAGAGACTGGGCATGGTGGCACGCCTGTCATCCCAGCACTTGAGAAGCTGAAAAACAGGAGGGTCACTACAAGTCCGAGCTGTGTAGCAAGACCCTGTAGACCCAGTACTAAATACATTTAAATAAAATAAAATAAAAATGAGAAGCTGAGATAAGATAACTGTGAATTAGAAGCCAACCTGGACTACATAGTTCAAGACCTGATCTCAGGGCCAGCGAGATAGCACAGCAGTTTAAGTGCCTGCCTGGCAAGCGCAAGAGCCCGAGAAGCTCAATCCCTGCTACTGCATGCCTTGCCAGCCCTTCACCATGCTGGCCACTGAAACCGGGCATGGTGGTGCATGCCTGTAACCCAGCCTGGGGAGGCTATAAATAAGTAAAAGATTAAAAAAAAAAAAAAAAAGACCTGATCTCAATCAATCAATATTTAAGAAAGGGCAGGGATTTAGTTTAGTATGGAGTTTAATCACCAGCCTATCCCTCAAAAAGGAAAAAGTTGGGCTAGGTGTGGTGGCATATGCTTATAATGCCAGTGCTTAGGAGGCTGAGACATGAAAAGGAGAAGCTCAATGTAAATTACATCCCCCAACCTTTTTTTGAGACAGGGTCTTACTATGTAATACAGGCTGACCTCATACTCATGATGCTCCTTTTGTCTCAGCCTCTCAAGGGCTAGAATTAGAGGCTGTGCACCACCACACCCGGTTCCATCCATGCCTGGGGGGGGGGGCCTGGCTCAGCCCACTTGGGGGCGGGGCTGGCAGCATATGGTGCCTGAGATTGAACTGTGGTCCCTGAGCTTGCTTACCTAAACTTGCCTAAACAGGCCCTTTAGACCACTGAGCTATCTCGCCAGCCCTCTATCCATGCCTTTATTTTATTTTTTATTTTTTTAAATTTTTTCTCTGAGATTTTATTTGGTTATGTTTTTATTTCATTTATTTATTTATTGTATGTATTTGGTACAACGTCTAGCTACGCTGTTTGGACTCGTAGTGATTCTTAGCCATGCCTCTAAAGAGACTTCTAGGTTTAGTGGGGCCCCTTCACTTGTCAGTCCTAGAGGGGATGCCGTTCACTTATTATACACATGTGCACTGCAAGGTGGATGTCTGCATAATGTAGGAGCTTAGTGAATGACTCTACATTAACTCACAGTACTAGGACTGGCAGGAAATCAGAGGTTTTGAGGGAATTCCTCTTTTTGGAACCTGAACTTAGTGTGAAATGTATAAGACACCATAAAGAAATTAACTTTAGGCCTATGTTACAGACATAAGAGAGATGACAGGAA